TCCACGACGGGTCAATTTGAGTCGCGCCGCGTCTCGACTGCGCCAATAAAACCATGAAGAATCGCGCGTTCCAGAAACGAAGGGAGGATAATCCGTTTGAAATTAACCTTAAATCATCCTTCCTCTCCTAATCCGGGGGGGGGGGAGAGGGGAGGAGGAAGGCCAGGGAGGAGGCTCGTGAAATGGTCGATCGAATCCAATCGGGAGATCGTAATATCTCCGCCAGATATCTATCGAGGAAGCGACCAGTCATGGGGGGTGGAAGGGGGAGGGGATTGGGGGGGGCCACCTTTTTCCTTGTTCCCCGGACGACCGAAGGTCGCCGGATCGATTTGCCTCTCCTTTGAAATGGCCAAACGTTGGTCGGGAATCGGCCGGAACCTAGGCGCTTCTCGTTCCTCGTCCGACGTAATGGATGTTTACCCGTCACGTGACAATGTCCGCCGTCGCATTGTGCCGGGCTGCCGGAAGCAACGGCCACGGCCGTTGCTTCTCGGAAAGCCGCGTGGAAAACTGTTTTCTCGGTAAAAAGGGGTGCAGGGCTATACATGCCCCGCGAGAGATCCTGACTCCCCCCCCCCTCCCCTCGGACGGGGCGAGCCACATGTAATTACCAGCCGACGAACTGTAACTGATTGCGCTAAAACAATTAAGGAACGTGACTCAGTTGGCTTGGAATCTCTCCTGCAGGAGAGCGCGTTAGACGTACGTATATACGGCGGCGTAGAGAAACAGCTTATCCATCGGAGATCTTATCCTATTATGCTCGGCTGAGTCCCGGGTCCTCATTCATCCTCTGGCGTCTCGCGTATAGTGCACAGAGACGATTTGTGGAGAGCCATATAGGATCTAGTGGAAACTCATTCTCGGTATCGATCGCTACTCTTTCAAAATTCCACGCTCGTTGATGAAGTCATTAAAATGTATCAGCAATTTCCCGGGCGCTCTCTCTTTCTCTCTCTCTCTCTCTCGGATGATGCTCTTTGTATTATATTGATATTTTGTAGATGCGTATCTCGAAGGGGAAAAGAGTATCGAGGAGAAAGGTTCCGAGGAACAGTTGCCCGATAAAAAGATTATCAGGAATAGCTTCGCATCGATTTCTCAACGCTTACGCACACCGTGCCACACGCATTTACCGTGTTTATCTAACGGTCAAACAGTAATATAACAAAATTGATTAGGCGAAACGCAAATTAAAGTAGAGAAACGGTTAAAGCCGGATATTACGCGATTATAAATTTCGACCGCGTCAATATTCATTTTACTGGATATATAACGATAGCGTAAGATCTATTTTATAGCGGCCGATAAATCCTTTATATTGATCAATATGGCACCATCGGTCTCGCATTAAATAACAATATTTACGATCAAACGTACCGCGGGCAATAAAGATTAAACAATTGGAATGGGCAGAACCGGAGGAAGCCTTTATCTCTCGTCCGAAATTTCCGAAAAGCCAAATTGCGAGGCGCCCGCGGCCCCGCTATTAATGCGCATACATATATAATCTATAAATCGCATGTGTTTAATGAATTTTTCGTTAATATCGGCAATTCAATCTGCAAATAGAGCCGGACCCCGTTTTGTCATGCAGCGCAATTCGAATTTATAACTCGCCCGGGCGCTTTGACGTATCGTACCGCACATTGGTTGTTTGCACGCGCTGGCGAACGCGTGTATGAATATATACGTACATACGCGTTCGACTGCGCGGGCATTCGGTATCGTATCCATTACATCGCGGTGGTTGCCATCATGGAAAATATTGACGACTTTTATCGTGGGCGTCTCTGGGCGAGAGCAACAGGGAGGGATATGTCTACGTTCCCCACTAATTGGCAAAAGTAAAAAAAGATCGATTGCGCAGAAAATAGCGAGTACAGTATAAGATATTAATTATTCGTGTCGATCAGTTTTGATGTATCTTTTCCTTTTCAATATTTAGCCAAAAATAGTCTCGCTTTAATTCAAATTTTAATGCTATCGAGCAGAACTTGTGATTTCTCTACTATTTTTTAAATTAATGTATTATACTCCAAATATTTATCCCTGTTAAAACTAAATTATTAATATATAAATTAAATTATGTGACAGGATATTTTTTAAGCAATATTTATGCATTTTATGTGAAATTCAAAGTAACTAAATTAGTGAGAAATTTGTATTACGCAATATGTTTTTATAAGTAATTACGCAGCAAATTTTTTTTATCGCAACGTTGAAAAGATTTTATTCTTGCATTATGCTCTATATACATTATCGTGATGTAATCCCCGCGCAGGATTATTGTTGTATTAATCGCAAGTTATGAGATGCAAGCAATTTTCGTGCTTGCAGGATAATCTTGCCAACTTAGGCAATTACACACAAAGGGTAAAATTAACCGCGTGTCATCCTCGCCTTAATTAAATTACTTCCCTAAGATTAATTGCTTTCTCTACAGCTCCTACACTACTTAATACATCATTTAAGCTAATTCGAGTATCATAAATGATGTTCATTGTAAAATAAAGATAACTTATAGGTTAAATAGATAAAAATAATCTGTTATATTTTTTATATATATAAAAAAAAATTAATAAAAATAAAAATATTACCTAAAAAAATACATACATAAAACTATGTTATATCACGAATATTTAATAGCTAAACGGGTATGATAAAATACCAATTAATTGAAATTCGATAAAATCGATCCTATTGAACATTTTCTGAGATTATTATTTAATAATTAAGCGCTAATTGCATGTTGATAATTAGAAGATTAGTATTCAATTTTGATAAATCAAGAGAAAGAATTTTTACTAAAAGAATCATTTTACTATTTCTGAAATTTGATCGCGTCTGAACGTACTTTATTCATTTACGATTAGAATAATTAAGATACTGGCGAATATCGTTTATACAGAATTTTGTTACGAGGAATTATTCAATATGCCATCAGTGGTTGGATCGTGTTTTGTTCTGATGCTCATCGCGCGTTCGCCAATTTTTTTTTCCTTTTTTTTTACATAATCCCGTTCTTCACCGACAAAATTTCCAGCCAAATCCACGAGCTACAGTGTATATCGCACGGTTGTTTAACATTGGCCCATCGATGACAATTTATTATTACTGGTTACACCGCTATTGCGCGTAATCTGCGTCACGTTTTACAATTTACCGGTTCTCTGTTTTTCTCTCTTTCTCTTGCTCTCTCTCTCCTCCTACTCCTACTCCTTCTCTCCTTCTCTTTCTTCTTTCTCTCTCTCTCACTCTCTCTTTCTCCTGTCTACCTATCTATCTATCTATCTCTTTTTCGCGCCATTCGCGAAGCCCGTTTCGTTGCAGCCTTTCAATGCCCGTCGGCGTAACATGGCGCCCGCGTATAAGCGCGAACCCTTTAATTACGCTTTTATCTGATGCATGGCGTAATGATGTTGCAAGCGCGCGGAATCGCGATGTATAACGCGACCGATGCACGACCGCGCACGGAAACTGCGTATATACACCTACGACACGCACGCGCGCGCGGGTGTGCGGCACGCCGAGCCTCAGGTCGTATATGCAGGAGAACGGAACGATGTGCCGAAATTGAGGGTTGCGCGAAATCCGGAAGCGACGACGAAATGGACCTTTTCATCGACGTATACACCAGACGTGTACTTTGCCGTAATGGGCAACGCGCGGGCTCGAAACGGTTTATCGGGGCCCGTATCTCGTTCCAGGATTAAGCCAGAAATCGGCCGTGTCCACCCAGGTTGAGCAAAGAAAGATTACGTTACAGGCGTCGCGTTTAATGTACGGATATAGCACCTGACTGACGGTGACGTTTCTGCTTTGCAATTCTGGCGTGTGTATATCATTGTCCGTGACAAGCGTGTTACGTGGAGAATCGACCGAAAAAGTTGTGTAATCTATACGCGTTGCAACATTTATGAAACTAATGTTCCTCCTGGACGTCGCAGGAATCTACATCGCGGCGTATAGTGCACGGAATTTTCCTTCAATAATTTGACGTATTTTATATTAAACAGCTTAATACATAGAACATCTTAATATCTATAATATTTTGTTGAATATACTGACATTATTAATCAATTAATCTCGCGTGCCAGGCTATTTATTGCCTTTTCAAACCATAATAAGATTACTAATTAAGTTTAGTGGAGTGACAAAAGCTGATCTGCGGTTAATATAGTTCCACGTCACGGATAATCGATATTTCATATAATTCAGTATTAATAATACCCAATCTCTCGCAATTAATTAAATAAAATTGCACTTTAATTACATAATGGATCAACGTCATTTTCTGGATCGCGTTTTATAAAAAATTGTCTTGTATAAAAAGGGTAACGTCTTTATTTTATATGTATGTTAAACTTTAAAAAAGTAGAAGATACAGTCTTTTCATAATATCTAATGACGGTCGCGTTTCTCCCTGCTTCGTGCGAGTTCCTCCCTTCGTTACTTCTTTTATCTTATTATTTCTATCTTTGTGTTTAAGCTTCGCAGCAGGTGTAACTCATGTGTCGCAATATCGCGTCCCCGTATCGCAGCTAAAACTGAAATTGTTGAGCAAAGCTATCTTTATTTCGGTAAATTTTATCATTACGAAAAACTTATTTATTAATATTGTGATATTTGCAAACATTATTTACAAATGTCGTTTTATCGTTCGCATGTTATTCTTGAATACTTTTTAATTTGCATATTTTATGTCAACGATATGAAACGTGTATACTACATTTGGATATTTGAAATGGAATAATTTGCGCGGTAAAACATTTTTGACATAATTTTGTGTAAAACTATAAATATAGGAATTGCTGTATTTTTTATATCGAGCAATCTTTTTATTTAGCCTTTTAATCCTTTTTTCGATATTTGTATTGAATCTGTATTGAAAATATTAAATCATACATATGTATATAATATATTTATAAATCATATAAACATTAGAAGAGAATTAGCGATATAAATAATACTAATAATAATAATATTTTTTTCAGCAAAGAAGTCTAAGAAGAAAAGGTCTGAGAACACTTCTTTCACTTAATTTTCACGCCATCGTTTTACCATTGCGGCGTAATGGTACCGGCCTGCAAGAAATAACTGTGCGTAAGTATTGATCGACCGTGATCGTTACACACACTGTTACACTTCGTAGAACCAATAATAGCTGTGTTCGCCATTGGGCGGGTAATCACTACTTGAAACACTTTTGTTTTTCGTTTTCCTGTTTCGCATCGCGATCGTTTTCTTGTCCTTGCCGATGTAAAAAGCGCAATATTATTTATCTTAATTACTTATTTTAGACAAGTACGAAAGAAATTTCCTTTTCGATTTATATCTAGCATTTGTTTTTATAAGAAAAAACGTCTACTTCCGAACAAATTACTTTATCATAATCGAGAAATAACATTTATAAATCTTATATTAATTCTAATTAAAGCTACAACAAGCTAAGTATAACGTAAATTATTCGCAAGAAAATAAATTAAAATGTTTAAGCTGTTTGTACAGTTTGAATTTCCATCGTATGTATGCAGTCTTTCGATCGACACATGCGTATAAAATCTTAACAAGATATTTGCATACAACGAACATGTATTGTCACGGCTTTGTTTTTCAAAAAAAAAAAAAAAAAAAATGCGCCTCATACGCATAAAACTAATTTTTTCTCGGGCTCCGCAAATCCTTCAGTTCCAGAGGGAAGCATCTTTCCCTCTTACGTTTCTCTTGATCCCTGTTTTCCCAGTGTGGTAACGAGGACAAGTCGTTCCTCGTTAAGGAGAAAGCCTCGGGAGTGGAAGGGTCTTGAAGCAACCGGTGAAGTCGGTGGCCGCGGAATCCTTGGCGAAAGGTTGCCTTTATTTTCACCCTTTTCGTACTCTGTTTCCGACTCTTGCTATTTCCCCGTTTCTCTTTCATTCTCTATTATATCAATCCACCGGCGCTTGTTTTTCCACTATATGGTGATTTCTTCGTTTTTACAACGCGTTTAATACCAAAACATATTTCGAAATTGAAAGCTGGTCGAGTAAAAATAATACAGATAGGAGTTTACAGTTTAAATGTAAAAATAAAATTCGCTCTCGGTGAGTTTAGCTTGACTGCGTCGCGTCAAGGGGGAGAAGGGAAGGAGGGAATACGGTATATACCTGTACTCGTGCTGGTCGATATTTATCGAAAGCGAACAATAGTTCTCGCGAATTTGCATTCCGGTGAAAAACAGGTAATACAATTGCACAGCTAATACGCTCAACGCATATGAAGTGTGCACTTGACAGTTCCACCTTTCTTTCTCGTAAAAATGCGGGAACCGTATATAATGACAAGGAGTGGGAGCCGAAGAGCTGAGGGAGGGGGATTGAGACATGCGTGTGTGATTTTCGTTCATCGAACAACGCGTTATCTGCATAATGCGTGGCTTGTCCACGGATTCCCATGGGGCGGCGCAGGTGTAACGAAGATGCAGATCGCTTCGTGCGAAAGAACGTGATATTCGTAGCACGCCTTGTCCTCTATTATCGTTGGCCGAACACGTCGCCTTTTTGCACGAGGCGATCGCCGCGGCGCGTCTCCCTCGCCTTTCACACCTTTCCGCAGGCGTGTCCCACGCCGTGGGTTAGGCATTTCAAACAAACGCAAAAAGGAGCGCGGGACGTTAAAATATTTCAGATGAATCGCACGATAATTCGTGCGTACTGCACGAAAAAAAAAAATCAATAAAAGAACGACGCAGTCGGGAATTTCATTTTTTTATCGCTTTCGTGAATCGCACGCTGCACACGGTGGACCCGCGCGCAGCGTTTTATCGTTACACGCTTAATTATGCAATAGTTGGTCTAGAAGTTGTAACGGCAGTTTTCCGAGAGTTACGGCAATATAAGTGATGAAGCAGCAATGAATTTTGATGTACGACGGTTTTTCGCGGCAAAAACAGAAATTCTCATACGAACATATGGCGGGCGGAGTCTGAAGTGATATCTCAGGGAAACGTAAGTGTGAAACGTGGCGTAGGTTGATGTTAAACTTGATTTCGGCTTCACGAAAGTTCGCCCGCGAGAGTTTCCTACTTCTCCAGAAGTAATTCATAACTTTTACCACGGCCCAGTTCAATAACGTCTGTTCCGCCGGCGCGGCGCGGCGGTTCATACTGATAATTCATTTTAAAATAGTTCATAACTAAAAACCAAAGGGATACAGCGTCCGAGAACATTCGACGCTAAATCAGGAAACTTCCTGGACGCAAAAGACGGGAATCTCGTAAAATTACATTAGGGCAGTCATTTTCCTCCTCTGATTGCGGCCGTGGTGTGGGGTGGGGAGGGGAGGGGGGGGGGTTCTGGAAATTGCATGGAGTAATGGATATTCAGGAACGTTCCCGCCTCGACATACCTGGTCCCCAAGAAAGTTAAGAAAAACTCTCGCTCATAATTCCGAGAATCCGCGCCGATTCGCCGTTCCGCCCGTCTATCTTTTTTTTTTCCCCGATGATCGTTTTCCGGAATGAGGGAGATCGAGAGAAATCGCGAAAGTGGCGCGAGACACACGCGCGGTAGGTTATATACCGGCAAACCGGATCTGAGAGGAGACGAGACAGAATTTTCCGTCTCCTCGAGGAGAGAGACGGTAGTTCAATAGATCGTAATAACTATCCTTACCCACCACGTTTCACACCGCCGCGCCGTGGAGCGCGCGCCGTCCACTTCGCGTAAACACCAGCATAAATTCCGGAACGGCCCTTTTCCCCCCCTTTCCCTCCCCTCCCCCACGCCATTCGCGTTACATCCCGGCCATCTCGCACCGCCGTTAACTGTTACGGGACCATCGGAGAGTGTTTCTCACCCTCTACTTGGCCAACCCGCTCGTTTCTTTCGGGGCGAAACAAACGAACGGGCGGGTTTTCCATTTCCCCGATCGATTTTGCCGATAATGGCGACAATAGTGGAAATAGTGAGAGCCATTAGTCCGGTGATTAATGACGCGCTTATGATCGAACAGGAGCGCCCGCGTTTTCGCATCCCGACGCTCGCTCCTCTACACTCCGCCCAGAGAGGGAAAGAAAGAGAGAGAGAGAGATTTTAGGAATCTGGGTTCTTTCACAATACGTAGGAAGAAAGCATTATTGTGACTCTGCGAAAATCGCAGTAATAAGAGACACGGGGCCATTATTCACACGGATGTCTTAGCGGGGCGAGTGATTTGCGAGCACAATAGGCAGCGTGGGGAAGCGCGCGCGAGATGCCGCGCGAATGTCGAGATTATTTGTTAAATGGTACGGTAAGAAGAGAGAAGTGCGCGGCGGCGGCTAAATCGCGCGACGCTCGGGAAGAGTGCGCGATGCAGCTTATCGTATGTTCTTCGAACGAACATTTTACCATATACGTATATTTTTTAACGTACATTCTTGAAGAACGCGACTTAACGAGTCATAACGATCGAGGGAGAGTGACAATTAATTCTCTCCCGGCGCGTGTTTCCATTTCGGCAAAAATATACAATGTAATTGGAAAATGTGTACTTATACAAGGGAGAGTTGCCGAAATCATACCACTTAAGGTATTTTTAGTTATATTTTACATTTGGTATTATTTGGAATGCAAACAAACGTTAAAAATTATAGCTTGATGTTTAAGGCTGTTATTACATATTAAACCTTTCGCTAACAGCAAATTAAAGTGTTATAAGCATTTCTCGTAATGTACTGCAGAAAGCACGATTCAGCAAACCGGCCTAAATTGTACCTGTGAGTTTTATTAATAGTACCTCCTTCTAAACTATTTTATGAATTTATGAAAATAATTAAAAACACAAGATTGATAAAAGAATCATGAATTAATACTTTAATATATACTTTAATTGTAATTTATCAAACAATAGCTGTTTTGATTGCGCAATTCGATGACGGTTTTTTCTTCTACAGACTTGCTATACAGAACAACTTTGATCGTGTTAAAATAAATAATCCCAGATAGCACAGAGAATGAAAAAAGAACTCAGTTATATGTCACCAATTCTGAGTTTATTTTCAGATCCAAAACGAATTATTTTTCTAAAAGGGATTCTTTTTGCACCTGAAAATGAACTCAGAATTGATGATATAAAACTGAAATGAATATACTAATGAATTCTTTTGGGCTCTGTGTGCTATCTGGGAATGTTGATTATGTGATCTAAAGATAAAGATACATTAGTGTTCCTAAATCGTACCGATACGATATATAATAAGAACTCTTATGCTGGTTAGGTTAGATACGATTTAGGAAACTTGACAGAGATGATAAAAATATTGATATAATTTTTGTAATAATTGTAAATATGTATATACGATGAATGTAAAATATGCTATCATAAACTTTCTTTTTAGGAAAAAGTAACAATTCAATTAAAAATTGCATTGTTACATTGGTATCAGCTACATAAATTGATCGAAAATTTACATTTTATCTGATTTTTTTTCAAATGCTGATAGCATGCACAAAACGAGATGTAACCTGTTTATTTTTTGTCTTTCTCACACATTTATTAATTACTTCATATTTTTGTTACTAAATGTTGCTTCTATTAAATGGAATTATAAAATATTGAAGAGGTACGATTTGTGTGACCGGTGTGCGCATTTGGCAACTCTCCCCTAATATCCTCGCCGAGGAGGAACGAGGCCACTTTCTTCGGTGCGCGCCGCTGTGCGTATCGATTGTCGCCGCCGTCGTCATTAAAGCCCGATCGCGTATATAGTAATAAAGACGGGAGTTAAAACAGTTATCAAAGCAACGGGTGCAATTAAGACATCCGAATTGGAGTTCGCTCCGGCGAGCGGACCCCCCTGCGCGCGCGCTGGTGGTGGTGGTATAATCGACTGCCTTTGTGGCACCTGTCGAACGACGGGTAAAACCCGATTTTCAGATCCCATTGAGAGACGCGAGAGCGCTCGGGTGGTCGGGAAGACGAGGAGGCAATGTGACTGACAGGCTTCATGGTTTATTCGACAAGTCGAAGGGTACACACACAGTAGGCAGGGGGGAGGGGTAGGGGGAGCCTATAACATCGTATCCAAAGCTTGCGCTTTGGGTTAACAGCCTGGGTGTCCGACGATGTACCATGATGCATGA